AAATCAGAGTAGGTGGATGCCCTAAGGAGGCTGTGACCCCATGGGAAGCCTGTGCCAGAACAGGCTCCTGGCATGATCTGTGGACCTGTGGAGAAAAGATGAAGCAGGTTTGCTGGTAGGACTTGACCCCATGTGGAACCATGCTGCAGCAGTTTGTTCCTGAAGGACTACCCCCCATGGAAAGGACCCACCTTGGAGAAGTTTGTGGAGGACTGTCTCCTGTGTATAGAACCCTACACTGGTGGATGGGTAAGACCCCACAATGGAGCAGAGGAAGAATGTGAATGATTCTCCCCCTGAGGAGGAAGGAGTGGCAGGAACACATGATGAACTGACCATAACCCCCATATCCTGTTCCCCTGTGAAGCTGGGCAGAAGGAGGTAGAAAATTAGGGAATAAAGTTCAGCCCAGGAAGAAGAGAAGGGGTGGGGGTGGGGGGGAAGCGAAGGTGTGTTTTTAAGATTTATTTCTCTTTTTCCTACCCTAATTTGATTGGTAATAAATTAAACTAATTTCCCCAAGTCGAGTGTTTTGCCCGTGGTGGTAACTGATTGAGTAATCTCTCCTATCTCGACCCACAAGCCTGTCATAATATTTTGTCTCCCCTGTCTCACTGAGGAGGGCGAGTGACTGAGCAACTTTGGTGGGCATCTGGTGTCCAACTTTCCACAACTCTCTTTCCTAATCAAACATGAAAAATATTCCTTTTCTAAGGTTATTTCATTTCTTCATTTAATTCTTCCTTTGGTCTTTAATCCTAATTTTCACTAAAATGTCCACGTGTATAAATACTTTCTGAAGACTGAAAGGGATATTCAACCTAAATTGACAGAGTTTTAATTGCAGGTTTGAGACAGCAAGAAGAACACTCAAACAGTGATCTGAACTTTTTTCACTTCATCTGAACATTTCCTCATGCTGTTTCCAGGACAGTTGCTTCAATGCCACATGACAGTTCCTTCCACTCACATGTCACTTCCCATGCTATCATCTCACAGTTTCCTCTTAATTCCCACAGCCCATTGCTGAGGAATAAGCATCATCCCGCACTGACTCAGTGGAAATCAGGTTGAAATCCATACACCTGGAAGAGCCTTATTAGTTTTGACTTAGTGTGCAACTGTCTTCCTTCTTTGGAGAGCTGAACTGTAGAAACATACACACATACACACACACACACACACGCTTGCACTTGAGCTGTTGCTCTGAACGAAACAGGTTACTTTGAAAGCTAAGACAGTCTCAAAAGGAAAAAAAAAATCCAAACGGAACCCTAGGAGAAATTGCAAGCAAACCTCAAATGCAAAACTCCCAGATACTTATTCCAGTCTTACTGATAATATCTGAAGTCTTAAGTAGTGTCTGACTAGTTGTTAGCCGGCATAAATATATTTTTCAAATTATTTCTTTGGTGAGATACCAAATCCCATATTTTAACAGTAAAGAAGTCTTTTAATTGGTCATTATAAACATTACCTTTATGCTTCAATTCCTAAAGTTCATACAGATCCATACCAAAAAAAACCCAAAAAACCCAAAACCACAAAAAACAAACAACCAAACCAAACCAAATCAAACCAAACCAAAACCACCAAAAAAAACCCCCCAAAAACCCCAGATAATTATTATTTTCATCCAACAATGTCAAGAACATTTCCATCAGTAAATAGGAGTCAAAGTGCTGTAATGAACTGTCCAAAATAATACTTGAAAATATTATGTGCTTTATGATGTATTTTCATTGAGTTGATTTCTGAGAAACTGCAATAACGTCTAAAAAAAATATATATAATGCAAAATGTATGAAAAATTATGAAGATATTTTTTAAAACCAAAATTTAATTCAAAATGCTTCCAGGTTTTTAAAGTATTTTAGAATAGCAGTAGGATTTTATAGAACAAAAGACTTTCTTCTCCTATGTCTCTAGAGGGATCATCATCATAGTATGAATTTATTCTATATTTGCATACAACACTATCTTCAAGATCTTACCACATGTCAGTTTGGTATAAAAACAGACTTAATTTGATAAACTGAAGTATTTGATACAGAAGCCTAGCTGTAGACAACTATATTAAACCATGTTCAACTAGCACAAGCTAAGTCTCTGAGACCCTCAAAGTGTTATGAGATCATGCAAGACCTACAGAAGACTTTCACTGCCTGCTGGCGGGAAGAATATTATGTAGCATCTCAAATGGTACAATGTGTAGGCAAGTGAGTCAAACCCCTTATATGTAACCTGGGATGAGCTGAATTGTTCTCTAGGCATCACTGACTGTCCTGATTGGATTTCCATTGACTGTAGTCTAAACTCAAGACACCTGTCTGACACAAAGACAGTTAGGTATAGATATATAAAGACACTTGAGTGTAGATAGATAAATACAGTTACTGCTGAGCTGAATCCTACCCCTGAAGCTCATTAAAATTCAAGTAGAAATGGAGAAAAATACTTTCTTTTACTCTTTTCTTCACTGTTTTTTACTGCTAATAAATGCTTTAATTTTATTTCATATTTTTAAATTCAGCTTGTATGTATGTTTTATTTTTATACTTTCTTGCTTAAAAATAATAATTTACAAGGTATGACCAGTGTCATAGATTTTAATACAAAGAACTATTTTTGCAGTTTATCCAGTCTGGACTTGTATTGCTTCATGGTCTATTTCCCATTAACATTTAATCCCGTCTTATTTCCTGGAAAGAAGGCATTCAGCTGCCATTACTGCCCTTGAAAAAAATCACTTCTCAACCCTTTCCTGCAGGGAGAGAATTTGCAGTTACCTTAGTTCCTAATAAAATCTGACAATTAAAACTGGGTTTTTTTCTCCTTTTTTTTTTTTTTTTTTTTTTTTTTTTTTTTTTTTTTTTTTTTTTTTTTTTTTTTTTTTTTTTTTTTTTTTTTTTTTTTTTTTTTTTGTGAAAGCTAAGTATATGATGATCATGCAGCCCAAATTCAGGATAAATAATAATTTGAATTGTGTACAGTCTCATTCGAGTTATCTCTTATGGTTTTAAGGATAAAGTAATTGTGGATTTTAGCAGAAGTGGTAATAATACTGTTATAAACATTTCAAAAGATTGTACTTCCTCTCTGTGTAACTTGACATCTAAAAACAATCAGTTCAAATCAAGACAAGCCACATGTTTAACATGAAAAGAAAAGCCTATAAGCATCAAATCCCTGGAGGTCTCTTAGATGTAAATGGTTGAGGTGCACTAATTTTAATAGCGTAACTCAACAAGGATATGTCTTTCAAAGCATATGTTGTAAACAATATACCTTCATTTTTCAGTGACTTGTCATACAACTCAGAATCAGAATCTCTGATATGACAACAACAAAACAAAACAAAGCAAAACATCAACAAAAAGAACAACCCCCCAAAAAACTCAAAAAGCAACAAACACAATTATGGCTGGGCTGTAAGTTTTGAAGATGTATAATAGAGCAAGATCTAACACCAGAACCATTCAGAAAAGGCTTGGATAACTTTAGGTCATCTTTCTCCTGTCATAAGGGTATGTTACAGGTATACAAATGGTTCACAGAATCATAGAATTGTGCATTTAGAAGTGACCTTCAGAGATCATCTAGATCCATCTCCTGTGCAGAGCAGCTAAAGCAGATTGCTCATAGCTGTATGCAGTCAAGTTTTGAGTATTTCCACAGGAAAACATCCCACAGTTTCTCTGGGCAGCCTTTTCCAGCATTTGACCACTGCAAAATTAGGTATTGTTCACTTTTTTTTGTTGAATATCTCGACACCCTGTTCCCTTTTCTGGCACGGGAAATGACTGCTTTTTTTTCCTCAGCTGAGATGTACACAAGCATTGAAAAACAAGGTCAGTGAAAGTTACTGACTTAGGTGGCTCTTCATAACTATTCAGTGTCTTCATTCCATGCTATTAAAATCAGAATTACCTCAGGTGTATGGGGTATAATGCCTTCCTGGATAAAAAAGGGACTACTAGCATTGTAAACTCCAACAAATTAAGTTAACCAATTAGAACCTGAATTCTTAAATTTTTACACATGGCTGTCATTTTCTCCTGTCTTCAGGTGAAATGGTTTGGGTTAAGCTCTAGATGAATGCAAGATTGGGAGACCCGTGCCAGAGAAATGAAAGAACCAAAGGTGTGAAAATGGTCAGCAGATGTGTTTACATGCCTGATACCATCTAATGGTTCACCACTTTGTTATACAAAAGAAAGCAAAAGGAAACAAGGGATTAAACTTGTAGTCTACTTTTTTTTTCTTCTTCCTTTTAACTTCAACTATTTTTCTTTCTTTTCATTTTTCTTTCTCTTCTGATTTAAATATATAGATATTCATTTTATATTTGTGTATATTTTTTATATATATACTAAACCAAAATAAAACCAAACCAACCCTCTATTCTTAATCTCCAGCGTTCTATTTTAATGTTTTAATCATGCTCAAGATGTGGGAAATGCAAGGCAAAGGTTAACATCTCTATTCTATTTAAGTTGTACTCACTTGAGATAAAGAAAGTATATCTTTTAACACTCTTCATTTTTCTTTTTTTTCTTTTTTAAGCTCACTAAGGTCCTTTTACTGGGCTTTCATTAATAAACTTGTTCAAACTCAGTGGATTCTCTGAAGATTTCTAAATGTAATATATACTTCAAACACTGATACCCACATCTTAAACTGTGAGTTGTAAGGTAAACCTTTGGGTCTAATGTTTGAGTTACCAAGCCTTTATTCATTTCCTAATATTTTTCACACTCTGAAGGTACTTCTATAGTGTATTTAAATATTATTTCACAACAGTCAAATACCTGCAGCTTCCCCGGTAAGAACAGCACTGATCCTGGTGATTGAGGTGCCAAAGAAACTCATTTGTCCAGAGAAGGGCAGTGAGGCTTTTAATGGGTCTAGAGGATGAGTCCTATGAGGAGTTGGTGAGGGAGTTGGGGTTGTTTAGTCTGGAGAGAAGGAGGATCAGGGTTGAGCTTGTCTCTCTCTACAACTACCTGAAAGGAGGTTGTAGCCTGGTGGGGGTCAGTCTGTTCTCCCAGGCAATTAGTAACAGGATGAGAGAATATAGTGCCAAGCTGTGCCAGAGGAGATTCAGGTTGGACATCAGGAGGAATTTCTTCATGGAAGGGATTGTTAAACATGGGAATGGACCAGCCAGGGTGGTGGTGGAATCACCAGCTCTGCAGGTGTTCAAGGATCAACTAGATGTGGCACTTAGTGGAATGGTCTTGTTGACAAGGTGGTGTTCAGTCAAGGGTTGGACTTGATCTCAGAAGTCTTTTCCAACCTAAATTATTCTTGGTTCTGCAATTCTCACTTTCTCAAAATGTGAAAGTATTCCTTGTAGTATTAGATAAATACATACCTGATCTGCACAATCTCAGTTTTCAAATTTGTCAAATTTGTCAAAATAAAACCTGGAAAGTTTTTTAATGTTGAAAATAATCCCATATTAATAGTTCTAGGAACAGGGGAAAGAAAATCTTATAGAAAAATAACACTATAAATAGATATATAATATATAAAATAATATAAAAATAAATATATCTTTTAAAGATTGCAAAACAGGTTCAAAACAGTTTGTCAGGGAGTTTGACTAGTAAAATAATTGAAATGTGTCTTACCTACTTTTTTTTGGTTTTAGTACGTAAGTTCCATTTATAGCTGCCCTTCCTCTATCTTTAATTACTTTTCTGATGCCACCTATGTCTTAAAATCTTATTCCTGGGAATAAGAAGTTTCCTTTTTTTTTTTTTTTTTTTCTTTCCAGGAATCCCAGGCCATGGAGACCAGAGGGAAAAAGTCTGGAGCAAGGAAGACTTACCCTTGATAGCAAAGGATCAGATCAGGAAACAACTTAGAATTCTAGAATTATAGCATGGTTTGAATTGGTATGGACCTTTAAGGATCATCTAGTCCAAGCCTCATTCCATAGTCAGGGACACCTTCCACTAGATTAGGGTGCTCAAAACCCTGCTCAACCAGGCCTTGAAGACTTGTAAGGACTGAGCATCCACAATTTTCTGGGCAACCTGTTCTAGTGTCTCACCAAACTCAAAATAAAAAATTTCTTCTTTATATCCAATCTAAATCTACCCTCTTTCAGTCTAAAACCATTATCCCTTGTCTTGTCACTACAGGTCCTGGTTAAAAGTTCCTCTCCATCTTTCTTTTAAGCTCACTTTAAAGTGAAAGGTCACAATTAGGTCTGCCCAGAGCCTTCAGTTTTACAGTCTGAAAAACCCAATTCCCTCAGCCAGTCTTCATAGCATAGGTGTTCTACTACTCTGATTATTTACGTTGCTGTCCTCTGGATGTGCTCTAAAAGGTCCATGTCTTCCTTATACCTGGGATTACAGAGCTGGATTACTCTAGGTGGGTTTTCATGAGAGTGGAGTAGAGGGGAAGAATCACCTCCCCCAGTCTGCTGGCCATGCTTCTTTTGATGAACACCCGGACATGATTGACTTTCTGGGCTGTGAACATACATTACTGGCTCATATCTATTTTTCAGCCATCAGTATCCTCAAGTCCATGTCCACTGGGCTGCTCTCAATCCATTCATCTTCATGATACTGGGAGTTGCCCTGACTCAGGTGCAGGACTTTGCACTTGGTCTTGTTGAACTTCTTGAAGTTCATCTGGACCCACTCCTCAAGCCTATCTAGGTCCCTCTCGAAGGCATGTCTTCCATCTAGCAAATCAACTGCACCAGTCAGCTTGGTGTTCTTTTGATCATATAAATAGTTCAAAATTCCCACAACAGAGCTCTTTTATATTCATGAAAAAAATAGTTTTTCATTCAAGGAAAGTAAGTTCCTCACAATGCGGAAAAGAGTTACATGACTATTTTGCTACATTTAACCTCACTATTTTATCTTATCCCCTGCATCAATTTAATTGTAGAACTTACATGCTGAAGTAGCTAACACTGTGAAGGAAAAGCAAAGTCTTTTATCTCATTCTTCCACCAAGCTCCTGGTTAGAGTCAAAGTGAAAACCTCAGCTCAGTCGGAAAATGTCATTCCTGCCCTTTGATGTATTTAGATTATGAGTCACACAGAGCTACCAAGTATCTGGTTATATTACGAAAAGGGAAAATGCTTATAAATACGTTTTCAGTGATGCTCTCATCTAGGGACTAAAACCATCACTGAGATTAAGATGAGTCTCTTTTCGTGTGTGTGTCTTGTTACTTTAACGTCTGAAGTCTGTCCTGTCCCTAAGTACTACATGGTTGCAGCATATCCCTTCACAGTAACAGCAAAACTGGCAAAGGCACAAGTAGATGCTGCTGGATAACTAAAACCTTCTTTATGATAGTACTGCATAGAAGTTGTTTTGTTTCACTACCGTAGAATTTATCCAAGAAAAAAAGAAAAAAACAAAACAAAAAACAAACAAACAAACAAACAACACAGGATCCATCTTTCTTTAGGCATCAAAGATAAACAATTAAATCTGAAAAAGTCATAAACCTTTTGCTGTCAGAGCAAAGAGATGGGTACTTCTGTTGTAGAGTCTTTGATGGCATTCTAAGATTCACAGGTAAGAAAGTTCAGATATACTATCATTTATATGTGCTTATTTCTCAATTCATAGTGAGAGGATGAAAGTCATGTAGTATAGACCTCTGGAGTATGTGCAGAATAAAAAAAGAATGCCTTCTTCAAGGCAGTAAGATGTGTCGTCTTGCTCTTCAAGTAACCTACTACACTCCCAGGAATGACTCAACCTATCTTTCGATAAATTAAGAATGTTTGGGCCACATGCATGTGCACATATGTGTGTTCTTAGTGAAACTTGGTGAAAACTGTTCTTTCTGAATCAGAATGATAATGACATTTTGAATTTCTGTAAAGAAATCAGAAAGAAGAACATAAGGGGTCCTTAGTCAGGCATTCACATGAGTTCTCCCCACACTGCTTTCTCACTGTATTTGGTGTACATCACAAAGTTGTGCTGCAGGAGTAGTCTATGTAAAAAGAGGTCAGAGCTACCCCATGCCAGGGACAGACAGTTCCTGATGTCTCTACAAAGGACTGCAGTCTGTGGAACAACCTATACTGGAGCAAGAGAAAATTCTGAGGAAGAAGGAGAGGCAGAAGAGCTGATATGGGCTCAGAACACTCAATCCCCCATCTCACCCTAGACCGCTCTGGGGAGCCGTGTAGAGAATTCGGCAGAGAAGTAGTGAAACTGAGTCTGCAGAAGGAGGGTTGGGGGAGAAACATTGTTTTAATAATTTGTCTTTGTTTCTCATTACCTGAATCTTTTTACTTGACAATAAAGTAAAATTTTCCCCAAACTGAGGATTTTTTTGTCCTTGATGGTAAGTGATAAGCAGTCTCCCTATCTTTATCTCAACCCATGAGTTTTTTCTTCCTATTTTCTCATCCTGTCCATTTGAGGAAGGCAAGTAAGTGAAAGTCTGGGTGGACATCCGAGTAAGCGTGGTGGAGAGAGTGGTGGGGAAATGCCAGTTCTGAGCCAGTGGGGAACTAAATGGGGGAGTACCATTCCTAAACCACAACACTCAGTTTCCTTCACAACAAGTATTTGAATATGACTGATATTGCAAGTACAACATTTCTATATTCAGATTCTCTTCAGATACACATTACTGAGATTTGAAATACTTTTTTTTTTTTCCAAAACCAAAATAATTAATTTAACTATTAGATCTTAAAGTCATGTTAAAATGTTATGGCCTCTTATAAAGACTTCTTTATAATGTTGAGAGTAATGTTGACAGAGATAACTTCCCAATTAAATCTATAGGAATGTAACATTGTGGCTGAACTTATTAGTTAGGGACAAGTGTAATGAGTCTCACTCCAGTGCCACACTCAGGACAACCCATGTTTTGAATCCTAGTCAACAACATGCATTGTGCTTCATTGACACACTAGTTTTCTCACAGATCTCAAATATGAAACTACACTGCACTTTTCAGACATGACCATTGTCTCTCTTAATGAGTCTGGGCCAGGTTGCTTTTGTCTGTCCCTTATGCCAGAGAGAAAGCAGGCTTTAGACAGACAAAGATGAGATGTATCTCCTAACTCATCATATAGGTTATGTCTCTCATTTGCTCAACTCATTAGTATTTAGTGAAAGACAAAATAGAAGAGTATCTACTTAAAAAAAAATCAACTATCCCTACACTACAAATTCCTATGAGATCTCAAGAACTGCTTTGTATAGTAATTTTTTTAAAGTCTTTTTCCTTTCATTATCTGCATGGAAGCTTCGGGTTGATGAACAGTATAAAGATGTGGTTCTTCATATCTGATGTCTAAATATGAATTTATAAGCACTTAGGCTTGATAGTTTTAGCTTCAAATACAGTTCTTCATTATCCTCAGATGCCTTTTTCTCATTATTCTTCTCACAGAGTTGTTCTTGAATATAGCTAACACTATTTAAGCTTCAAACTAGGTTATTTTATCACTGTTAAAACACCGTGACAATATAAATATTTATTTCTAAGGTATTTTCCATCAGTTTCCCATTATTTGACTATCTATGTGTGTTTTGTCTACTGAGAAAAGCACAGAAAATAGCACACATGGATATGTAAATGACTCTGAACCCATCAGTAGGACTTAATGAATTACAATGTTTGTCACCTCTGTAGCTTGTTCTATCAAATTTTACAGGCTAATATGTCAGAAACTTTCAAATTTAATCACAAATTGTGGTTTATTCATAAGCAGTTCAGTGTATGATTTGCCTCTTGGCCCAGTCTTCTATTCAAGAAAAAGGTATCATAGAATTTAGCAAATTTAATTTGTTTTCATGCTATGGAAGTGGAGAATTGATATATCTAAAATGTTTCTGAATTATAACTTCTTTGATATTAATTGATGTCAATATAATGGTAGTAAAAGTCAATGTTTACTCAATGAAAACTCAAACTTTTCCTTTTTGTGTGGTATAGTGTGAACTAAAGTAATTCTCACAGTCTTAAAATTTTCAATACTGCAGATTTCCTCTTTATTTTGTGAAACATTTTGAAGAGTGATTTCATAGCAAATCATCACTCCCATTCCTCCCTTTAACAGAGTGAAATCTGAGGATTTAGCCAAGTATTGGAATAAGAGATCTTGAAC